AAATGAAGGTAAAGAGTGTTATTTTCCCTGAAGTGGAGTTTCCCTAAGAGTTTTCAGGCCTAACCTCTCCCGTCCCTCTGTCTGCACACCTCTCCCCGTCCCTCTGTCTGCACACCTCTCCCGTCCCTCTGTCTGCACACCTCTCCCCGTCCCTCTGTCTGCACACCTCTCCCCGTCCCTCGGTCTGCACACCTCTGTGCCCTGCTGCTGGGTGCTCCCCTGGCCCGTCTCACCTGGGCAGGTGCTCTCCATCTTCACCTTGGGTGGCAGCACCCTCGAGCAGGGGTGGGCCACGCAAAGGCAGCTCGCTCTGCCTTTGCAGGCTGTAGTCCTCAAACAGAGACAGTGACCATCACCACGGGGGTTGCTCCTCTAGAGGAGACCCTCCCTGCGACCTGAGGGCAGTAGGTTACCGGCCAGACCCCCCGCCTGGCTCTCCTCCCAGGGAACATGGCAGCTCAGCAGCACGTAGTGCACCGGGGACGGGGCCGCCTCAGCACTGTGGCCTCGTGCCCCTTTACCAGTTCACGTAGCGGGCCTGTCCAGGTGTTACCGCCGCGGCTGCAGCTCCACAGTGCCCTCGTTGCCCTCCAGGGAGGACACTGCTGGCTTGGGCTTCGGTGCTGCTCAGTCAGTGAGAGCTAGGAGGAGCGCACACCTCGGGTTCTCCGCCAGCGCAGCATCTCTGGGCTGGTACTGAAGTACCCAACCGTGGATAGGCCCATTCGAAATGCCATGCCCTTGCCCCCACCGGTCCACCCAGAAGGGCCCGTTCTGTAGCCCGACAAGGCTCTCCAGTCCTGAATGAGCCCACGACGAGGACTCTATGCCCTGTAGCCCGCCCACCCACCGTAAGTGCGTCCTTCCGGCCGTCGAACAGAGCTCATCTCTGACCAGCCCGCCGGCCCTGGTCAGGCGCTCCCAGGCCTCACGCGAGACGAGAGGCCTGCCGCCTGTTCTGTAGACTGGTACCTTTTTAAGTCCGTGGAACAGCCGGCTCGGGCCGAAGGAGCTGTGCTGGACCTCAGTCTCCTGAGTAACTCGGAACTCAATTGAACAAGACGAGTAAAGCTAATCTTCGCCTTCATGGAGCATGGTTCTTTTATTCTTTTTCTTTTCAAGAGAGGTGGGTTTTTTTGGTTTTATTTTTGGTTTTTTGTTTTGTTTTGTTTTAGGTTTATTTATTATTTGATCAGGGAGGGACAGAGTGAGAGGGAGGAAACTGAGAAAGCAAGCCACCAGGTCCAGGACCCAAACTGTGGTTGGCCATGTGGGAATCTGGCACTGCTAACCACCTTACCACCTGCCAGCCCCAGAGAGAGATTTTTTTCTGTGGAGTACATACACTCACCAGAGACACAGAAAGCAAAAAACCACCCCCGGGGGTAATGGCCACACCACAGTCCCTTCTCCATTCTCCTCTCCGAAAATTGGGCGCGCACACACGTGCCCAGGTCCTGGACTTGTCCTGTAGTGGACTGTGTGGGAGCCCAGCAGTGCCATCTGCTGGTCCGGTGGACCGTGGTTTTACCAGGTTTATCAAACCCCTCCTTGAAACATGGCCTCAGGGACAGCCCGCAGCACTCTGGGCTTGGTGTATGGTTCTGGCCACATCACATGGGGCGGGTGTTCCAGGGCGGGTGCTCTTCGCATGACAGCCACGGGCGGGCCTGGGCCTGGGCCTGGCGACTCTGAAACTTTCAGGAAACTCACCCTTTATAAGACAGTGACACTAACTTCTTAGCTGAGCCATTTTATTTAGATTCTAAAGAATCTTATGGCCAGAGCAAGTCTCTCTCTTATAAACACACCAGGTTGCCATTGAGACTGAATAAAAATCTCTCATATTCGTAAAGTATCTTAAAACGCACACAGTTTGGGCCAGCCCCGGGTGTGGTGGTTAAAGCGGCTGGACCCTCCATAGCTGACTGTGGTTGAAGTCCGAGCCCAGTGACTTGAGCAACACCCCAGGTGTGTGGGTAGTCGTGCCCAAAACCCCAAAAGGAGGGAGGGGCGGGAGAAGGGACTGTGGTGTGGCCATGCCCCGTGGGTGGCGCACGCTCTCCCACCCGTGTGGAGTCGTCATGGGCCTTGAGCAGGGTTCCCTGTGTGCACGTCCATGGCTTCTCTGACCCGCGGAGCCCTGTGAGGTGGGCGGGGTCAACCAGATGGCCAGGTTCCCTGGCGGGGCCTGCAGCAGAAGGGAAGGGGCGGGTGCTGTGGGCACAGCTGACCTGGCCCCTCTCCCCAGCACAACATGCCTTTCTGGAGGATCGCCAACCACGGGGACCTGGTGTCGCTGCACCAGGCTCTGGAGCTTGATTTCCTCTGAGAGCGGGACGAAGAGCCTCCCCAGGAGCTCAGCTCACTCGAGGCGGCGGACACCTGAACCAGGGACCCCCTCCCTGTGCCCTCCCTGGAGTGCTGGCGAGAACACAATCAGAACCAGCCCGTGCTACCGCCTGGTGAGCGCGAGCAGCTGCGCGTGCGCGTCTGGAGCAGGAGCCGCAGCTGGGACAGCACCTCGCAGCTGCTTTCACTTCTGTGTCCAAAACATGGAGAGAGAAAAGGAACCGTCGGGGCGGAGTTGCCCTGTCCCGCCGTCTGATGGAGACCTGCCAGCTGTGTGGTGGCAGACGCACGGACCGTGGGACGACATCTCAGTTGGGCTCTGGGCGTCCCCGACTCGGAACTCGTTCCAGGGCGACTGTGTCGTATAGGGACAGGCCTGGTCTCGGGAGCAGGCCCGCCCTTCCTTGTCCTAAGAACGGGGCACGGTGACAGGGAAGCAGTAAGTTCCCTGGAATGTCAGCGCGCTCTCCGGAACCTCAGCCCGGTCCCCGCACTGCGTCCTTAGCCCTCACGCTGCCTGTCCTGGAGGCCTCCCACCCTGCTCATCCCCTCGACCCCGCAGGTGCAGGTGGCGCAGCCCTAGAAACCCCTGTGGACTGCTTACCTCTTCCTCCACACCTCCCGGGGGCAGCCTCTTCCTTAGCTGTCCTGCCCTCTGCACCGCTGCCCAGCCCTCGGAGTCAGGCCCAAGATGTCAAAGCCCACCTAGGGACAGGCTTGCAGCTGCATCTTGGCCAGAGCCACCCAGCATTAGCGGGTGCCTTGAGGAAGCCTGTCCCCAGGTACACATTCACCCCGTCTCCGCCTGCCTCCTCTGCTACTGGCAGGCTGCGGGGGACCTGGGCTGGACCTCAGCCACCTAGGCAAGCCTGGCAGCAGGGTGCGTGCCTGTCCCCACCCCCGGGAAGCCGGAGGAGCTGACGCTCAGCCCGGCCCAGCCCCAACAAGGCCATTTCTGCAGTGAGACCCTGCCTTTAAAAATACGTTATTTCCCACAGAGACCCTCAAGTAGGAAACCAGGTCAGGGAGACTTCCCAGAGTTGGGTGGGCACTGACCCTCCCCTGCTGACCCTGGGGAGACAAGGTGCCAGGTACTTGTCTCAGCCTCCCAGCCCAACCCAGAATCTTCCTGGGCAACCCGGCGGCCCTGGAGCGGAAGGCCTTGCTCCGTACTGCAGGGTGCATGGGGCCACAGCAGACTCTCCACAGCCCTGTGAGGCTTGCCCTAGTGGTTCTGCGCCCCCATCTGCAGAGGTGTGGCCCAGCATGGCAAGACTCCAGTGCTGGGTCGCAGGGGGGGGGGGGCCCGTGCAGCCATCCCTGCAGAGCTGACCTGCCCCCGCCCATGGCTCACAGCAGGACACAGTGTGTTCTGGGGAGGGGCTGAAGCCAGTGCTTGGCTCAGGCCACCTCTCCATGGGCGCAGGAGGGGCCGTGGTCTGTGGCCTCGGGTGTCTGGAAAACTCCAGAACAGTTTGTACTTTCAGGCCCCAAACCCCGTCACCAGAACCGCTCGGAGTCCGGGCTGTGCTGTGGGCCGTGGGCTGAGGAGTAAGCCCCATCGCCCGACAGCACCACCTCCCCCGTCCCTTAGGAGCTCTGTGTCCTGGGGCTACAAGTGGGATGCCTTCTCCCTCACCCTGGCTGCCCAGCTTGGCGCCCTCCACAAGGAGCTTGAACTTGGCCAGGAGGAATGTGGAGGCCCTGAGCGGGGCAGGCAGGAAGCAGGAACCTCCTGACTCACCTTCGCCCAGCGGCCGTGCGGGGAGCACTGCTTTTCTTACCCCGTCTTCCTCCTCCGAGCACCAGGGTCGAGAGGACAAGCCTCAGGAGCTGTTGGAAGCTGAAGGCCAGCCCCAGGACAGGCCATTCCCGGCGCACTCCGGCCATTCACTGAGATGGCCCGCGTGGCCACACGAGGGCTGCTGCTAGCTGGGCGCCTGCACCCAACCGGGCCAGTGCAGGGTGGCTCGACTTGGGAGTGTAGAACTGACGTGCCTTAGCACCGCCCTGTCCAACGCCCCTGGGGCAGCGGTGGTGTCCGGGAAAATGGAAGCCTGTTCCAGACTCAGGTGCCTGTTTTAGCTTTTGCTTGGTCTGGGTGCTCCCGTCTGCATACCCGTTGGGACCTGCACTGCACCTCGCTCACAGCCCACACAACGCTCGTCTTGATGGCCCAGTGGGTGCGCCCGCTGCGGCTCGGGGGAGCCTGGATGTCCGCCACCTGGGGAGGGTGTCCGCCCCGAGGGCGGAGGGCAGAACCACTCCTGCGAGGGCGAGTCTAGGTGCCCGCAGTGAGCAGGGGCCGCCTCCCTCCAGGGGCAGGCAGGGCCCTTCAGAGTGGACTTCTGTCTCTTACCACTAAGTCGCTTTCCCTTTTGATCCCAAAGTCAAGCATCCCAGATGCTCACACTGTGGGAGCCTGTCTGAGCTCTGAGGTTCTGAAGCCCCTCCAGCGACGAGAGAAGATCTGGCTCTGCCTCGGCTGGGCAGCGAGGCTGCTGGGCTAGTTCTCATGCACTGACAGGCCTTCCCACCCCGGACGACCCCACGACTGATGTTTAGCTTAGGTTTGCCTGGTGGCAAACACGGCTCTCCCTCTGGACTGAAAAGGCATTGACTGGGTCTATTTATGTGACTGCGGGCATTCTTGGCTGTGGAGTCCTTGACCATGACGTATGTAATGGGAACTGTCTTATACACTTGAAAAAATAAAGTTTTTATTTTCTATAGTCTGTTCCCGTCTCTTCTGGACCCCCAGCTGCCAGGCCTGTGGGCCCTCGATGGCGCTGTGTCGAAGGCGGTCAGCCTCTTTGGTAACTGGGTCATGTTTCATAAAAACTTTAAGATAGCCATTTGGTATAAACATGGGGAAATATTTTTATTTCTTAATTGTTTCTGAAATCTACTTTTTTGAGTTTGGAACTGGAATAAGAGATTCCATCTTCTGCCAAACATACAGAAGAGAAGCCCATGCCCTCCTGTGCTGAGGTGAAGCCGCAGGCCTGGAACTGACGGCCTGGCGCTGGGCCTGGTCTCGGCGGTTCCGTCACACCTGCTGCTGTGTCCCACTCCGTTTCTCCAGATCAGGGTCATTGTCCCCGCTGGTCTGGCAGACAGTCAGGGAAACTGGGGTTTGGTTCTAGCTTCCAGGTAAGGTCAAGTGCAATTGCGCCTTCCTGGGTTGACCCTCACAGGGAGGGCGCTGGCCCGTGCTGTGGTGACCAGGTCTTTTTGTCATTGGGTGCAGGTTTGAACACACCATGGTGGAAGCAGACCTATGGGATGCTGGTCTTCGGCTGTTCCCAGGGGACAGGCACCCCCAGCCCCCCGAGGCTGGTATGACACACACATTTCTCTTACAAACCTCTTGGCGGCAGATGAAAACTAGCAACGTGGGAGGCTTTTTGTGAAAGCTCACTTTAGGGCGGGTGTGCTCCCGAGAGGAGGTGGTGAGAAGTCACCCCTAGGGGGACGGCCACACCACAACCCTTTCTGCATTCTGTCAGGATTTTGGCCACACACCTGTGTGCCTGGTACATTCTTGATTTGTTTTTTATTGTGGGTTTTTTGTGGTTTTTTTTGAGAGGTTTTTGCTATAGGGCGCGTGCACTCGCCAGACAGACAGAGAGAGACAGAGAGACAGAAAGCGAGAAATCACCCCCCGGGGGGATGGTCACGCCGCAATCCCTTCTCCTCCATTCTCTTCTCGGGATCTTGGGCACGCACGCACACGCGCCCGGCGTGAGTTTTAAGCCACCGGGTCCAGGACGGGAACCGCGGTCGACTACGTGGGAGTCCAGCGCCATAGTCATTACGCTAACTGCTGGTTCCGTCCTGGTACGTTCTTCAAGTCGCCATGTGGAACTCGAACTGTGGAGTTGGCCGTATGGGATCCAGCCACCTTAACTTCTGCACCACCTGTTGGCCTGGTTTTTGTTTGGTTTTTCCCCAAAAACACATTTCTTGACCTTAGCGTCTCCTCTCTGATGTCTGGTTAGCCTCAACACCCTGAGCTGCCAAAGCCAGTCAGTGCACACCACCCTGCTGGCCGTTCAGCTGGCGAGGGCTTTGCTGTGAGGCGTGTGCATAATCTTCCACCCTCTTGAAAACCATCTCCCCGGGGGAATGGCCACACCATAATCCCTTCTCCATCTCCTCTTGGCATTCTGTCATGCATGCACACGTGCCTGACATGAGTCTCAGGCAGCCGTCCGGGACTCGATCCTCCATTGGCCACTGTGCCACGTGCTGCCTCTTCTTACCCAGCTGTTAAAGGGTCCTTGATATGGAGCTGACAGAGGGCATGGTGGCTAAGGTGCTGGATCCCACGTGGCCAACTCCATGGTCTGAGTCACCAAGACAGCAGTTCAGAAAATTTGCCGGGGGCGGGGGGGAGCAGCAGGTAACATGTTGGTTAGGGCACTGGACTCACATGGTTGACCGCAGTTTGAGTCCTGGACCTGGTGGCTCACTCGCTTCTCTCATGTGCATACTCTGTAGCAAATTAAAAATCATAATAAAATAAACATTTTCTCAGAGGTTTTTGCTATAGGGCACATGCACTCACCAGAAACACAGAAACAGATGGACAGAAAGCGAGAGATCACCCCCCAGGGGGATAGCCACACCACAATCCCTTCTCCTCCATTCTCCTTTCAGGATCTTGGGCACGCACGCACGCACGCACACGTACCCAGCGTGAGTTTAAACTACCAGATCTGGGACTCAAACCATGGTCAGCTACATGGGAGTCTGGTGACGTAGCCATTACACCACCTGCTGGTCCCAGATGAAATTAATTCTTAAAGAGAAACTTGCCAAGTGCATGTATGTGCATGCCCAAGAGTTCTTCATCTCTGGTGATCACATGTGTTCTGTGACAAAAAATTTAATTTTTTTTTTTGAGAGGTTTTTTTTTTTTTTCACTATAGGGCGCGTGCGCTCGCCAGACAGACAGAGAGAGACATAGAGACAGAAAGCGAGAAATCACCCCCCAGGGGGGATGGTCACGCCGCAATCCCTTCTCCTCCATTCTCCTCCCAGGATCTTGGGCACGCATGCACACGCGCCCAGCGTGAGTTTTAAGCCACCGGGTCCGGGACGTGAACCGCGGTCGACTACGTGGGAGTCCATTGACATAGCCATTACGCTAACTGCTGGTTCCCAAAAAATTTAATATTTTTTTAGATGGGTTTGTTTATTTTAATTTGACCAGAGAAGGACAGACCGAGATACAGAGGGAAAGTGAGAAAGCAAGCTGCCAGGTCCAGGACTCGAATCACAGCTGGCCATGTGGGAGTCCAGCACCCTTAACCCCCATGCCACCTGCTGGCCCCGTGACAAAAAATTTCTTAAATTTTAAATGAAAAAATGTGATACCTTAAAAGCAAATTTCTGACTGCAAGTAATGTCACTCTTTTGTTCTGTTTTAAATGCCAGAGGCTGTCCACTCTCCAGGAAGGGAGCTTGAGCAAGCATGCCTACCAGGGCGTGGTCATGCCGCAGTTCCTACTTCTCCGGCTGTGGGGACTTGGGGCACCCACCTAGTGTGGGTATTTTTTGGGGGGAGGGGGGAGGGTATTTTTGTGGGGTTTTTTTTGTTTTTTGTTTGCTATAGGGCACGTGCACTCACTGGAAAGACAAGAGACAGAGAGACAGAAAGCGAGAAATCACCCCCCAGGGGGAATGGCCATAACGCAATCCCTTCTCCTCCATTATCCTCTCAGGAACTTGGGCACGCACGCACACGCGCCCGGCATGATTTTAAGTCGCCGCGTCCGGGAATCGAACCACATGGGAGTCCAGCGACATAGCCATTACACCAACTGCTGGTCCCTGTGTGGTTTTCAAGCCACTAAGGCCAGGGTCCAGCAGCAGCCAGCCACGTGGGAGCCAGCTCCCAGCCCGGCCCAC